GCGGCCTGGGTACTGTGGAGGGTGTCCACTCGCTGTGATGCCTAGGCTGCGCCCGGTGCCCTGGCACAGGACCCCAATGAGGACAGCAGTCCTGAGCCACCGCCTGCCTGATGTACAGAGACCGGGAGGTACCACCTTCTCCAGGATCTGCTTCAAAGCCACCAGGCCAGGCCGGACCGGGCTGTGGTTTGGTTTCCCATGGCCTCTCTGCAGGCCAGTGGGGTCCCTGCTCCTGGGACTAGGGGTCCTGCTCCCAGCACTAGGCCTCTGCCCGTGCTGAACTGACTGCCCCGGGTCTGTCTCCCGAATTGCTGGTGGCCCAGGCGGCAAGGCTGGCCACTGGCTTTAGCACAGTCCGACTAGAAGTCCAGTACGCTAACCCCAAAGCCACGCCGAGGCCTAGGCGGAGGCGCCTGCATCTTGCTTCTCATAGCTGAACGCTGAGCTCATCGCTTAGGACATGAGTGAGGGCTGGGGTGCGCGTTTGATTGTGTTCCTTCTGGGCCGTCTCCAAGCTCCAGGCCTCTTGACCTCCGGCCCTGCCTCTTGGGCACAGCGGGCTTCTGAAGCCCAGTGCTTCCCATGTCCTGCATCCTTCTGGGAGGTGAGGGCGCCTCGCATGGCCCGCTGCTGCCCAGGACAGGACAGGACAGGCTGGGTAGGTGACAGGCACGTGGGGTCCAGGCACGACCTGAGCGGGGTGCAGCCCTAGGCCCTGGGAGCACGGGGAGTTTGGCGTCCTCCTGGAGTGTGCAATGTCCCTGTGATGGAAACTTGGGCTGAAACAATTTGAAGCTTTCCAGATTTTCTGACTGTGTGTGTATTTGCATTTATTTTTAGCCATGGGCGTTCATGTCTTGCCAAAAAACCTGCTTAAATAAAACCAGGATTAATATTTTTACTGAACGGAAAGAGTTAGGACAGGCTTTGAACTGGAGCCTGTTTCTCTGGAGCAGGAGCACATCTGGACGTCTGGCCTTGGCTTGGACATCAACGAGAGGGCCTTGCGGCCAGGCAGGAGCACGCGGAGGAAGTGCCTGCTGTGGGAGGGAGGTGGGCAGTGGCCCTGGCCCTGTGGGGCACTGCTTTCCCAGGCACCCCTGCCCTCGCTGCGATTGTTCTGACTGTGCTTCCTGACTTGGGGGACGCAGGACTGGCTGCGCCCTTGCCCCCCAGCTCCCCTTACCCGGCGTATGCTAAGTGAGGCCCAGGAAGCCAAGGTCATTCACGGAAGCCTGCACAAGAGCTATTTCCCATCACCTGCCATGTGTGATGCTGAGTCCATCAGGTCACATTTGGCTTCATCTATTGAGAAAACTAAATCAGCTGCCTTTTATGTGCTGGGCACACCTTTGGTTGCTCCGAGGTAGAGTCCTCCCAAAAAGAGAGAGAGATAAAAGGAGATGGAACCTGTCTTGTGAAGCTTACAACCTAGTGGGGAAAGGTAGTCAGTCAACAAGCTTGTGACTGCATACTGCCATCGAGGGGTGGAGGGATGTCAAGGTCAGGGGCCAGGGAAGCCCCCGGCCAGGTAAGAAGGGGAGGAAGAAGGCCCAGTAGGGGCAGAGGCCCTGGGGCATCCGGTGTGGCCAGCCTGGCCCGGGGCAAGCTGCTGTCTCCTGAGAGGTCCCCGTGGCAGGGCAGTGTCAGACCATGTTGACCTTGGGAAGGGAGTTGAAGGTCAGCCCTCAGGCTGGTCGTGCAGGACCTCGGGAGTCACCAGCGGTCCAGCTCCCTTTGCTGCCTTCCATGTGAGCAATCTGCGGTCCATGCTTGTCTTCCGGAATGTCCAGGGTCACAGCAGTTCCCGCTTCTCGTTCATGTGATGCTGTGCGGATGCTGTCATGTTTAATGGCCTGATGCTGCCGGGGTGGCAGGAACCTTCTTGTGGTTTGTGGGCTTCATGACAGTCATGCTGGGGAGCAGTCACCTGCGGGTGATGGAGCTGGGGATCCTGCCCCCAGTCAGAGGGTGCGTGTGTGTGTGCGTGTGCATGGGTGACTGGGAGTTCGGGATGCACAGACACAGGGTGGAGCAGTCCATGGGGCCTGGAGCTGGTAGTGGGCAGGTGCAGGGTCGGCTGCGCCCTCTGAGCCAGCAGAAATAGAGACCTCGGCCCTGCCCTGGGGGGCCACGGCTGGGTTCCCACAGGTCCCACTGTCTGACTCTTGCAGGGGGGATGTGGGAAGAAACTGGGTCTGGAGTCCATGCTCGGGAGTTAAGGGGTCCTGATTCCCCAAAGCAGCCCCAGGCCACCCTGCCGATCAGCATCTGGGCTGGGGTACAGGGTCTGGACTTGATTGGAGATGCTGCTTGCTGCTGGGCCAGGACTCTGACTCCCCCTCTCCCTGGTCCCTGTGGCCTCCAGGCCAGTGAATGCCAGGACCCTTGGCCCAAGGGAAAGCACAGAGCAGCCAATGTCTGGCATTGCCGAGAAGCTGAGGTGAACACAGGAGCAAATCCATTCACACCGCAGGCAGCTGGGGCTACCAGGAGAGACCTGGGCCTCATGCACGTTACGTGGTCCTGGCTCCGATTACTGAGGCTGTGTGTCCGTCAGGGAGGCTCTGCTCTGGCCCCTGCAGTGGGCTGCTTTGGCGTTGGCTATCCAGGACCGCATGCACCGTGACATTGCCTAGTGCTCGAGGCCACTCGGGGCTCCACACGGGTGACATAGATGATGCCTGAGATGGGGTGGGCCACCTGGTCCCAGCACCTGAGCACGTTGCAACCACTTCCTCCTGGCTTTCCATGTCCTCCCCCGCAGTAGTGCGGGCCGGTACACCCAAATGAGCTTGCTTTCCTGCAACTCAAGAGGCTGAGGCTGCAGTGTGCAGGATGGACAGGTCAGCTGCAGTCAGGAAGCAGCAGGATGGTGAGCTGGTGGGGCTGGGGGACTCCGTACTGTTCTAGGCCCTTCTTTAGCACTCAGAGTAAACTTCACAGCATGCGTTGGCTTCAGCTGCGTTTTACAGATAAGGAGACCCAGCGTGGGAGGGTTAGGGGTTCTCCAGCTTGGCACTGCACCAGGCCCAGCCCGGAAGCCAGTGCCCACGCCCTCATGTCACTGGGTAGCTATCACTCAAAACACTGGGTAAGAAAGCCCGAGAGTCCAGGAAGAAAGAGCTGGAGTGCAGGGATGGTGCCGCGCTGACCCTACTGTTGCTCCTGTGATGAGACCGTAGTGGTCACTGAACCAGGCTCAGAGGAAAGGTTCCACATTCAGGCCAACTCAGGGTCAGCAAGGAGCTGGCTGGTTCTGGGGCAGAAGCTTCTAGATGTACCCAGCTCTGTAGGACAGGAGGGCTGAGGAGGCATCTGGGCTGAGCGTGGACAGGTTGATGCTGCTGTTTCAAGGGCAGACCCTGCTTAGTTACCTCCAGAGAGGAGGTGAGGTCAACCTGGGAGGGTCACTGATGACCGCCGGCAGATCTGCTTCCTGCCTGTTCCTGGAGGGAGCAGTCGCCTGGCCCAGGACGCTGGCTCACTGTGGAAGGTGCTGCGGCAGTCAGTTGGGCACCGAGGTGGACACAGGAGCAGGAGCAGGAGCAGGACAGCCTGGGCTCTGGCAGCCTCTCTCCCTCCGCCTGACATGGCCACTTGCCTCCAATTTTGGTAAACTCTGCCAGTGGACACCATGGTTCTGTCCTGGCAAGGAGGTCCTGAGGAGCCTGGTGATGACCGGAAGGGGAAGGGCCTGGCTCAGCTGGGTGGCAGCCAGTGGACAAGGGAACTGGGTTCAAGTCAAGGTGGAAGATGAGCATCAAAGAATTGGGAAACACGTGTACACGGGAAGTAGGGCCAGGAGCTGCTGGGATGGATGTGCATGCACACATGTTGGTGCATTCATGCACAGATGTGTGTGCAAATATGTGCAGGGTGTTCTTTTTAACATCGGCTTTTCGAGTATCTGCTCAGAAAGTGGCTGGAACCAGGGGGTGTTTGCTCCACGGCAGGGTGGGAGGAGGGGCTGCTCCAAGGCTGGAGACCCAACTCCACAGCCGCCCCGCAGGCTGTCCCGCCCACTCGGTTCCTGGACACTCCCTGCCCCGCGCAGGCCTCCTGGCACTAGGGCACATTGACTTGAGCCAGCCGTTGTGGTCTCTGCCGTTCGCAATTTGCACACCTAGCCCCACTGCTGTGCTCCTGTGCACGGGGTTCACCGACCTGCAGGACTGCTCTGGGTGCCTCGCTCCCACAGAGCTGGGGAGCTCACTGCCTCAACTGTCTTTTGGGAGTGGTGGGGAGAGGCGGTGGCTTTGCCCTCTGCTCCCCGCATGTCCCTGGGGGGTGAGTGCCAACGTGGCCCCCTGCAGGGCAGCTGAGTGTAGGGCGTGCGTGGTGTCCCTGTCCCATGTTTGGTGGTGGTGCTGGTGACGCGCTTCTCCTTCATCTCATGTAACCTGCATCCGGGACAAGCTCAGGGCTCCAGTGCCAGTGCCAGGGCTCGGGAGATAAGTGCCACTGTGATGCTGGGGTCCTGTCCCAGGGAGAGGACAGTGAGGAACCCACCCTGTCTTGGTGCTGGGAGCAGCCAGGCCAGGAACAGAGCCCCTACCCCACAGCAGCTGGGACCCCAATGCCTGCCTGTGGCCCAGGTGCTGGGTACTAGGGCTGGTCACGGGGCTCCACAGATGAGGAGAACAGTGTGGCAGATGAGGAGCTGTGGGTGTGGTGGCCTGGAAAGGTCCGGGGGAAGAAGCAGAGGCTGGGACACTGACTTTATTCAATGGGCAATGCAGGAGCAGCTGTGGGGCCCAGTGAAGCTGCTGGGTCAGGAACCCTCGAGGTACAGCAGGGTGACGACCTGTGAGGATGTCCTAGCAGGACACCATGACCGCTGTCTCTCCTCCCCCACCAGTGGCTCCTCACTGGACGTGCAGGACCCTCGCTGCTGTGAATGCCATGGAGGGTTCAGTGGTGGGGGGCACTTGGAGAGGGGGCACAGCACCAGCACAGTGCCCAGGCTTCTGACCCTCGTGTCCGTCCTGTGTCCACAGTGATCCGTGCCAAGGTGGTTGGGAAGAAGCTGGTGAAGGAGGGGCCCTTCGGCACCATGGTCTACACCATCAAGCAGATGAAGGTGAGTGCGCTTATGAGGTCTTGGCCACAGGAAGCTGGAGGGGGACATGTGCTGGCCCTGCGGGAGGGCGGCTGTGGCTGCTGACCCAGTGTCAGGGTGTGTGGTGGTCCAGGGACCTGTTCCCAGGATCCTGGGGCTCAGGTCCTCACCCACCCTTCCCCAGTCTCTGTCCAGTCCATATACCTTAACCTGCAGCTGGGGGCAGGTGGCCATGTACACTCGAGGGGGGAGGGGGCTCCTGCAAGCTTTCTCCACGGCGCCCTAGTCTTGTGTTGTCAACGAGGCTGCAGGCTGGCACACACCACACTGACATCACTCCGAACCTGTGCCAAGCCTAGGAGCCCTGTCCGCCTGGAGGAGGAGCCTGTCCACAGGGCGGAGCCCCGCCTTGCTCCCCCTTGGTTCTGATCTGCTTCCCGCCTTCCAGCTGGAAGAGCCGTATCGCTGAGGGTCTGTGTCACTATGCCACTATGCAGCCCCCAAGCACAGAGCCTGTGGAAAGCCCAGGGAAGGAGCCACATGACCACTGTCCACTCCATATCCCTGGCCTTGGCCTCTTCCCTCTTCTGGCTCCGTCTTGCCATCTGTTAGCTAGGCAGGGCTGGGCAAAGGTGTCCCAAGGGCCTCAGGCACAGGGCGTGCCATTGCCAAGTAGGGGCCGCTGGCAGATGCTGCAAGGTACCCTTGGGTCCGCGTCAACACCGGGCACTGGTGTTCCCTGCCCACCAACCCAGTTTTCATACCTCCAGGACTGTCAGATTGGAAAAGCAGAAACAAGTGGGACCAAGCCAATGTCCAGGATGGGGTTACCCAGGCCGAGGGACCTCAGCCCTCGCAGTCCTCCCTGGCCATTAGGATGGGCCTGCAGTGCTCGGTGGACCTGGTGGGTGTGTGGCCGTCTGACTGGGGTCTCCCAGGGCTGACCTCCCGGTCTGTAGTCCATGCCGAGCTGGAGGCTGGAAGCACTGAGTCCGTGGGACCTGTTGCTGTGGATTCCACTCTGCAAACAGCGCAGCCTCCGGTTATGTAACACCGAGTCAGCCTGGCCGGCTGCCCCTGGCCGCTGAGTCGGTCATGAGACGGCTCATGTCTTTGCGGCCCTGCAAGGGCAGTGTGGGTGGGAGAGGAGCCGGTAGGAGCAGCCTCACCCCCAAAACCCACCTGCAACCTCTGGCAGCGGCACGGAATGCTACAGCCCATCAGACACAGTGGAGGTGGAGAGTGTGTCCCACCGGCTCCCATTCCCCACAGCTGCTCCTCCTGGACACTGGGTGCCAAGGGAGGACAAGGAGACGGCCACTGGAGGGGTCCTGAGTCTGTCTCAGCCTCCCTTCTGACCTGGATGCCTGATGGTGGTGACCAGAGGCCTCCTGTGTGCAGTGTCCTTCTCCTGTGTCATTCGGTCAGTGGGGGGCCGTTAAAGGACAGATGCCATTTGCTGCCCCATGCCCTGGTGGGCTCAGGTGCTGTCCACTATGGTCAGCACAAACTCTGCATTTTGCTTCCTGAGGCCCAGAGCCATGCATCTCATTGAGAGAGGTGCAGGTGCCACTCTGTGTGCTGTCACCCAACCCCCAGGCCCCTGCATCTCACAGACCCAGTGTTTGGATTGCAGAGCTGGGGAGCCCACCCACTGGTACCCAGCCCAGTGCTGGCTGTGAGTGGCAGTGCAGGGCTCCAGGACCACCGAGGGAGCACACTGTGCCCCGCCTCTCCTGAGGAGGTGCTGAGACACGCAGGGCAATGCCACCGTCAGAGTCCTCTGGCCAGAAAGTGCAGAACGAAGCCTGGGCCCACTGGGAGGTAACAGTGTGGGGCAGTGGCCAACCTGCCTTCCGCCTGCTGTGGGGGCTCCCAGGGAGCAAGCAGAGGGTGGCCTGGGCTTGCTGCGCTGTGGAACCTGGCAGCGTTGCTCCGGACTTGCAGCAGCCTGCAGTCTGTCTCAAAAGAATCAGTGCGGGCGGAAAGCTCTGGGCTGGCGCGGCCAAGGGAAGGAGCTTGGCCCTGGCCCATGGGGGCTCTGTTCCCAGGGGTTAGAGCGCCTGACCGCAGAAAGTCCTATGGGGCTCCCCCAGGCAGGGCTGGGGGAGCTCAGAGCAGCTGGCCACAGCCAGCCACCTCCCCCTCCCTCTTCTCCCCGGCCCGGCCTAGGCTGCACCTGGGGTGCGCTGTGGCAGGGTGGACAGGGCGCATGTTGCAAACCAGACGCAGAGATCAGCCGGGGCCCAGGCTGGGCTGGGCTGTAGCAATGATGGAAGTTTCCAGAACTGGCTGCTCTAATCTGTGGACCTTATCTCCCACTGGGGCCATGGGAAAGCCGTCCACTCCGCAGGAACTGTTGTTTGTGCAGTGGACACATGTTCTCAGGCAGGCTGTGGGGACAGCACGTGGGGGACACCATGTCCCAGCTGGTCCCTGGAGGATCCCAGGGAACATGTCTTGGTCACGTGCTTTTAAGGTCCTGACTGGACAGAACAGCTCCTCCGGCCCTGCCCTCAGGGCCCTAGCAGGTCTCCTCAGGCTGGGAGCTCCAGAGCCTTGAGCCCCAGGTCTGGTAATGGCCCTCCTCTTCCCCAGCCTGCAGCTCCCATCAGCCTCTTCGGGACCCTGCCAGGGAGCAGCCATGCTGTCTGAGAAGGACTGAATCGTGCTCGGGGTGTCTGAGGTGGCACTCAGGGTCCCCATGGCTCGAGTGGCCTGTGGAGACCTCTTGATGTGCACCCCATGGAGAGCTGCACCAGGGTCAGGTTCTTCACATGAAATGCCTGATGGGCCAGGCTGAGGGACAACTTCCCCACTTGATGTGTCCCCTACCCTGGCAGTCAGCTTCCTAGGACCTCATTTGGATACCATGAAAGGGACCTAGGCAGACGGAGTCTGCTGGAGGAGGAGCCCTGCTTGCCCTCGAGGGCCCCACCTGGCTGGCTCAAGCCCTCCCAGTCTGCCCGTCTGAATTTGGGAATAAGTGGTTTTAAGCTAATTTTCCGGTACACACTGGCTGCTGTGTGCCAGGTACTATTGTAGGTCATGTATTTCCCTGGGGTCTGGAAAGGTTAGGTGACTTTCCACGTGGCTTGTCAGTGGCTGGGGCCTGCGGCACCCTTCCTTACTATGAGGGCCCTGAAGCCACGCCAAGCCTCCCAGCAGGTGGAAGCAGGACTGCTGCACCCTTGAGCAGGGCAGAGACTCCTTGACTCTCTGCATCCAGCAGACAGCTTCGTGATGCCACAACCCACCCCGACACTTCAAAGATGAGGATACCGCCCATTAGACTGGACGGGGGCATGGATGAGACGCAGCATGCTCTGTGCGCATCATCATAGCAAGTTAACTGCACAAGCCAGGGACTCGAGAGGCCATGCTCTGGGACAGGCCTGTGGAGCAGACCTGGAGGCCCCTGCAGTTCAGGTCCACTGAGGCCTGGATCACGCTTAGGTGCCACAGCACCGTGCAAGCTCAGGAGGTCAAACCCGCTGCATTGGTGGGCCAGGGCCTGTGTGTCACTCAATAGTGACACACCAGAACTCTGAGCAGACACAGAACAGAGCTGCAAGGGCCGGAGATGGAAATGGCCTTTGCCGACCTGTACGGCTGTGGGTAGGAGCAGGGACCCTTGGCCCAGGTGTGTGACCCTGCTCTGCTGTGTGCCACCTTTGTGGCCTCAGGCACAAAGTGCCTGTGCTCTATGGCCCAAGGGGAACAAGGAGAGGGACCCCACCACAGCAGCGCCCCTGGGGTTCTGGAGCGGTGCTGGGGTTTAAGGACCCTGCAGCTGGGGCACCGCTGGAGGGACAGGAGGGCTCCCCTCTGGGGTCTTGGCGTGAACAGGGGAGGCTGGCTCCTTTGGAGCAGACGGTGGTGCCCTCTAGGCCTGTGCTTGCTCCCGACACCCGCCCTCTGCCCGCAGATGTACCGAGGTTTCACCAAGATGCCACACGTACAGTACATCCACACGGAGGCGTCCGAGAGCCTCTGCGGCCTGAAGCTGGAGGTCAATAAGTACCAGTACCTGCTGACAGGTGAGGCCCTGGGCCGCGGCGGCACCGCCCAGGCATGGTGAGGTGTGGCCGCCCAGCAGCACTGAGCACAGAGAACGCGGGCCGTGCGCCTGTCCTGCCTGCGAGGGCCTGGGCTCCGTCTCCACGTTGCCCGCCCTGTGGCCTCCTGGCTTGGGGATCCCTCGCTTTTCTGTAGGTGAGCAGAGGTGGGCTGCCCTGCCCTCAGGAGCGACCCGTCTGTGGGTGCTCAGCATGGTGAAGGGGAAACCTGGTCATCTCCCACTTCACTGCCCCCGGGAAATGGGCCACTACTCCAGCCAGCAGGGGTCAGGAGGGTCACGTCAGGTGGAGGCACGGGTGGGGACTGCCGGCCTCCCCAAGCAGGGGATGTGACCTGCTGGCTTTCTCCTTCCCCAGGCCGTGTCTACGACGGCAAGATGTACACGGGGCTCTGCAACTTCGTGGAGCGGTGGGACCAGCTCACCCTGTCGCAGCGCAAAGGACTCAACTACCGCTACCACCTGGGCTGCAACTGCAAGGTGAGCCGGCCGGCGGGCGGCGGTGCCCTGGGGTGGGGCCTGCTGCGGCCCCCAGTGTCCGAGCGGTGCCAGATAAGGGTCCTCATGACAAGTCCTGCCAGGCAGCCCCGGGAGCCCTCACCCTGGCAGCAGCTGGCAGGCTGGCCCAGGCTGCGGGTACCAGGGCTAGAAATGGCCCATCCTCAAGCAGCCCCAAGCCCTCAATCCTCACAACACCCTCGTGTGCTTGAATGACCAGGACCCCCAGATAAACAGATAAACAGAGACTCAGTCTAAGTCCCCAAGCCCTCGGTGGCCGAGGCTGACTTCCAGCCCGGGGTGCTGGACTCCAAGGGTGATGCTTTAGCCTCGCTGGTTCCTCAACTCTCTATAGCGGCGCAGGTCCCCCCACCCCTGCATCTAGTCTGATGCTGCCAGCTGTGTGACCTGGAGCCAGTTACCAAACCTCTCTGAGCCTTTGTGTTTTCATCTCTGAGAGGGAGACTTCAAGGGAATCACACAGACTTACAGTGCAGCTCAGGCAATGTGAGCTCCTCTTACCATGCTGAGACGGATGGGGTGGGCGCCCCTGCAGCGGTCCCAGGGCCTGAATCCCAGGCAGGCAGCGCCAGGCCTGGGCCACCGTGCAGTCTGCTGACCACTGGGTGGGACTCGTTGCAGATCAAATCCTGCTACTACCTGCCCTGCTTTGTGACCTCCAAGAACGAGTGCCTGTGGACCGACATGCTCTCCAACTTCGGCTACCCCGGCTACCAGTCCAAACACTACGCCTGCATCCGGCAGAAGGGCGGCTACTGCAGCTGGTACCGGGGCTGGGCGCCCCCGGACAAGAGCGTCATCAACGCCACAGACCCCTGAGCCCGGCCGCCGGCCGCGCCCCCCCTCCCCGCTGAGCTCCCCTCGGACACTAACTCTTCCCAGATGATGACAATGAAATTAGTGCCTGTTTTCTTGCAAATTTAGCACTTGGGACACTTAAGGAGAAGTCTGTGCTGTCCAGGGAGGAGATCTGGAGCTGTCCTCCGGGCCCCGCCCCAGCCTTCTCTCTTTGCTTCTGACATCGCCGTTCTCACCCTGGGAATCTCTGGCTTCCTGCCGGAAAGAATGAGGAATGTAGATGCCTCTTCCTTGTGATATATAATCTATATTTTTTTAGGAAAACAAAAATCAAAAAATCTATCCTCTCGGGCCCCTGTCACTGCTCCTCCTCTTCCTGCCATGTCCTCCCCTCCCCAGCCAGCACCTAGAGGATGCAGACAGGAAATTGCTGAAGCCCACCGCTTCCAGGCCAGTCTGGGCCAGCCAACAGTTAGATTCCAGGTAGGCGGAAGAGCTGGTACCCGGGGAGATGCTGCTGCATGTCCCCGGAGGGCCTGTCCGTGTCTGCCTGCAGGTCGGCGCGGGGAGGGGAGGAGCAGGCTGCAGGCGAGGGTTGACGGGGCACAGCGCAGTCCCCGGCTATGCGAGTCTGGGGTGAGCTCAGGCCGGAAGCACAGCGCTGTCAAGACATAAACATCCGTCTGAGGCTGGGCGGCAGCTCAGCGAGAGGCTGAGACCGGTGTCTTTCCTCTCCCGTGTCCCTCCCTGAGAGCCTCCGCTGCCCTGAGGGGGCCACCTCTGTGTGAAAGGGAGAGACACGGGGGCACCATGCACCTCTGCACCCCCGGGATGTGTCTGCACCCACACCTGCATACACCTACGTGCGTGGGGACATAAGCTAATTTTCTACAGGACACAGAATTCTATTCAATGCTGTTAAATACACCAATAGTTTAATCTCTTCTATTTTGTTGCTGTTGCTTGTTGGAAGAAAACCATGACATTCCGAGTTGACTTTTTCATTTTAATTAAAGACTGAGATTCTGAATACCCTCGGCACCCTCTTGTCCCGTTACCTGGGCCCCTCTGACCTCCTTTTCTCCTGCGTCACCTTTGGGGGCTTTTACTTTACTGCTCTCTGGCTTGGCAGACGGCAGGTGACAGTTACTTTGGGCTGGGGACTTCATACAGGAGGGACAGCCCAGGGTCCTGCCCCAGCTGGAAGGCCGTCCTGTCCCCGATTGGGGACAGCCTGCTCCCCTTCCCAGCACCCTGGTTGGTGACGCCACCTCCTGAAGCCCTCACCCTGTGGAGTGACGAGGGTGGTCACTGGGGAGTTCTGGCTCTGCAATCAACTGTAGGGTTTTGTTGTGTTTTTTTTTTGGAAATAAAACTATAATATAAATCCTATAAATAAAATTAAGTTTTAGTGTCACAGTGAGATGCTGAGAGTGACAGTGTGTATGTTACAGAGCTGGGGGTAACAGGATGGTGACCGTCAACACCACTGCTCTGTGTCCCTTTTCTTAGAGTTTGGGTGCTTCTCTTAGTGCTCAGATCTTCAGTTCATGCTGTGTTAGGACACAGAGCTGCCAACTGAAGTGGCACAGAAAAAGACGCAGGTGAGTTACAGAGACAGACACACACCAGGCCAGGGACCCCTGGCCTCGGCTCTTCAGGACGGGTCCCAGGACCTGCTCACTTCCCTGTGGTCTGCACCGGGCCAGGGAGGTGGGTGCGGCCTGTAAGGGTGGTGGGAGCAGAAGGAGCTCCAGTCCACGCCGCAGGAGTTCAGGGGTGAGCCCAGACCCGGAGCCTGGGATCCGCTGTGTTTCAACCTCCGAGTCTGCACGACGGAGCTTTGCCCGACCCACACAAGCGATCTCCCCCCACGGGCACCAGGGCCTCTCCCTGAGGCACCTGGCCATGCCCTGCCCCGGTCACACAGGAAGGCACTTGTGGCACGAGGTGCCTGAAGCTTCCAGACTGCGGAGTAAACAGCCAGCGGAACCAAGCGCTGCCGACTGGCAGGCCCCGGGCGAGGTCCCGGGCACCGAGGGTCTTTCCAGCTTTCTATAAGCTACAGCTTTGTTTATTTCACCTGTTCACTTACTGTGTAATTGAAAGACATTTATGTAGCTGAGACACTTCTGTATTGTAATCCTATCATGAATGTTTTATTTTGCTAAATCTTGTGTCATGTGTAGGTTGTGTATGCGTACGTTGTGTCTAAGAGAAGACAAGCGATACCCACAGGCTGCCATCTTCCTGAATCAAATTCCACGGTGGGACTGGAGGGTAAAAGACTCGACCCGGGCGGGCAGTGGGACTGGCAGGTCTGGGCACGGGAAGGACTTGAGACTCTTCCGGCCTCCTGCTCCTGGAAGAATCCCAGGTATTGCCCTGGTAGGAAGGGGCTGTCCTGGTCCTGCATCAGCTGGCCTGGGACACGGGCTCCCCGCTCCTCTCCCCCTCCCCACGCTTTCTTTTCACTTGATCGGGAAGCCAGATTTCATCAAAGTCCAGGGCCATGAGAACCGAGATCCCAAGTCCTCTTTGCTTCCTCTGGACATCTCTGCTGCCTCTAATCAAGGAAGCCATACTCCTGGGCGCGCGTCTGCCAGGCCAGCGGTCTGCAATGGCTGAAAGGTGACGCCCAGGCCCCGTGCCTTACCAGCCCCAGCCCCAGACGAGCCTCCTGATGACAGCGATGGCTTATGAGCACCGTCTTTGGCTAGCTTTTCTGGGAGGTGCTGGTGCCCTGGGGGACACCACCCCACCCTGCCCCAGGCCCTTCCTCTCATCTTGTGCATGGTGGTCAGCAGTGCAATCCCACAATGCACTGGAGTGTGGCTCCTGGCTACCTAAAGCAACCAGATCACTAAAGTACCTGCATCAGACAAAAGCAGTGTCAAACCTAACAGTAGAAGCACAGCGAACGAGGTCACAGCGGCGGGTGGGGGTCGGCCACTTTGAAACGGGCTGTTTGTGGTTGAGAGGAAGAGCTTGGAGATGTCCGCTGTCGGGGGAAGGCTTCTGGGGGCTCCCAGGCCCCACATTTCCTTCCAGCCAGGCTATGGTGCCGGAACCAAGGAGCGATGGAGACAAACCAACCAGAGAAACCCTATCTAGAAGGAATGTATTTGTTGCTAAATTCTGTAGCACTGTTTACAGTTTTCCTCCATGTTATTTATGAATTTTATATTCTGTGAATGTACATTGTCCTGTAATATTGCATAGTGTTCACTTTTTATAGTGTGTCCTTTATTCTAAACAGTAAAGTGGTTTTATTTCTATCATACACTGCGCCGTCTCTTGCCTCATTGTATCCTGGTTGCCCTGAGGAGGGCAGGGGGCATGGCTCTGTCCTGCCCGCCCCAGGCCCTGGATAAGCCCTCCACCCATGCCACTGCGCACGGGCGGGAGGAACTTCAGGGTGGCAGCCTCATTTCCTGGCCTTGCCTCTGCTGCCTGACTGCGGCCAGGGTTCCTCCAGCTCTGCCGATCCTGGGCCTCTGTGCCCACCCCAGGTGGTACAGCTCCCCAGGCTGGGGCCCTGACTCGGCCTCCTTGTTTGCTTCCTGAGAATCCCGCCCTGGTGACATTAGGAGGGAGGCTTGCAGGTGGCAGCCCTGGATATTGCAGCCTGCTAGAAACTCTGGATGGAGCTTAGCCTGGTCAGGAGTGCCAGGGACTCCTGAGGACCCCGGATGACAGACGAGCCCTGCCCAGAGTCCCCAGCCAGGCCTGTCGCCTGGCACAGGACACACACAGCCATCAGCCCTCCCTTGACAATGTTCCCCATTACAGCTTTCGCCTCCGAGAGGTGTGCCGCTGTGACCCCGGTCACAAGCCAGGCGCGACATCACACACACGGTCACAGGGAGTCTCAATGGCCCAGTGAGGCTGTCCCATCTGCGTGTGGCACATCTGAGCAAACAGAGGAAGGTGGTGAAGGAGAAGAGAACTCAGAGGTGGTTTCCGACTCAGGCTGGTCTGAGAGTAAACGCTGAGTTCTCACCATCATAGGGGTGCTTTGTTGGCAAATGCTGACCTTTGCACGTGTCCTTCGGACGCCACCAGCACAGGCTGGATTCTGTGACTGTCACAGGATCCGCACCTGTTGAGACTGCTCCCTTCCTGCAGCTCAGCCGTCAACACCCCAAACAGCACTGTCAGGCTCCGCAGCCTGAGCTTTGACCCTGCAGGCAGGCATAGTCGCCTGCCGGGACTGCAGGATGCCTGTGTGCGACCACGTCCCAGATTCCCTGGATGTCCAGGCCCACATCCCTGTGTCCCTTGGACACACACACACACACACACACACACACACACACACACACACACACGCTGCTGGCTGCTTCCTGCTGCCCGAAGACCTCTGCACAGCTTCCTGCTGGGCAAGGAGCCCTCTACTGCACTCAACAAGACCAAGTTAACCTGCCACACCCAGGTCTCCCGGATGAGAGGCCAAGCTACAAACCCTGCACTGAGCCGCCAGTGTCCCTGAGACAACCTCGGGTGCATTCCAGAGTCAGAAAACAAGAGCACACAAACACAGCGCCCCTCAGAAATCAACACAAAGACAAGGCACCATTTTAATTAAAATGAGCTGAAACCAGAGCCCGGAAAGGATCCACGAAAACATCTGCCTTTATCAACAGGCCTCTGACTCCACAGGCCGGCCAAACTGTTCTGATTTGCCACCAGTTTCCGAAGGCCCAGGAAATGCTGTCCCCCTTTGTCATTTGCCCAACTGCTCCCCTGAACGTCCTCTGAGCAGGCCTTGGCCCAGCAAAGCCAGGCATCCCCAGCTGACACCGATCTCTTCCCCACAGCTCAGGGAGCAGCGACCCTGAGACCACCTTCTCCATCCACAGTGACCAGAGACCCAGACCCGATCTCACGCCGCACCGGGAGAGGACACAGAAAGCGGACACTCACCATTGGCTTGTGGTTGGGGAAAAACGTCTGCTCCACCAGCGGGAACTTCTCTGGGCCCAGGGTGTGGAAGATCTTGATGAGCTGGGAGAACTGGGGTGGGAGAGGAGACCTCGGTGGGCCACAGCACCTCTGTGGGGAGCCACGCTAGACCGGCTTCCCACACCCTGCCTCCTGTTGTGGGCAGGGCACCTGCAGCTGGTCCTGCTGCTAGATGAAGGCCAGCTTCCCTGGCCTGACATTTGTCCTCTGCCTGGTGTTCCCCCATTCCTGCACGACCTCCTGAGTATGTGGAACACTGGTTCAGCTTAACCACACTGATTGTTCGATCCATGGCAGTCCTGGGGATTGCAGCACTAGGGTCTGCAAATCCCAGCCTTACAGGGTCCTGTCAAGTTGCTAAGTTTCCAAGGTGGGGAATCCTTTCAGTCCTCCTTCCTTAGCCTCTCAGAGTGCCAGGGTTACAGGAGTGCACCACCATGCCCAGCTTTCAACTGCATTTAATGAGCACTTACTACATCCTCGGCAGTATTCCTTGTGGGGTCCATCTTAGCTCTGCCTGCAATGCCTCTTTGCAGAGAGGGAGCCCTGTGTGGCTGATTGGAAGTCACTGCAGGTGTCGGCAACCCAGGGTCCTCACTGGCAAACAGAGATGATGAGGGACCCTCCTGCCTCGGGTGATCCTGTACCCTCACTGCCAAGTGTCCCCCAACCATGCTCGATTATTAGAGGGACAGCGGGGCATGGCGAGCCAGGCCCGATGACAGTCAGGCTGCTGGAAGTGTGGGGTGGGTCGGGACTGCTCCCCAGAGCAGAAGACCTAAGAAAAGGAGCACATGCCAGGAGTGTGGTGAGACCTACGTGTGTGTGTGTGTGTGTGTGTGTGTGTGTGTGTGTGTGTGTGTGTGCCATGAAGGAGTGGCCTGACGTGCAGGCAGTGAGGTTGGAGGTCAGGTGGCCCATCAGAACATCACAGTCCCCAGAATGCTGAAAGGCTGGACCAGGAGCTCAGTGTCCACTGGGAAGGAAGGATAGCAAGTGGGTCCAGGGGATGGGCTGCTGGGGAACCTGTCCTAACAGTGGCCCCGGGACGCAAAGTGAGGGGACTGGCATGGTCAGGGGTCACCAGTTGCCCACATCACAGATCAGCACTGCACACCGGCAGATACCCAGTGCCCACAGCAGGGCATGGAGGGCGCTGATAGCGAGCGCCCTTTATCAAGGGTGTCCTTTGTACAACTAAGCGCACTTCACGTGTGTGAACACAAACCCCTTGGGGGCGCTGCTCCTGACCCGTGTCCTAAACGAGAAAGTGGAGTTCGGGAGGCCCAGCAGGCTGGCCATGGGTGCAGCTCCTGGTGGAAGAAGCTGGCACCCCTGTGGCATGTACCACAGGACACAGCACACGTGTGACGTGCGTGAGAGCACGCATGTGCCTGTTTGCCAGGATACGAGGGCAGGTGGGCGGGACGCTGGCCTGGCTCGTTCTCTGCCACACCCTCGTCCCCGGGCTGGGACGGGAAGAACCCCAGGACATGTGCATGTGGCAGAAGCCCCGCTAGTGACTGAGATGGACCGCACTCCAAGTGCAGGGGAGCCTTTGGGGGTTCCAGGGTGTAGGGAGAGGAGCCAGCTCTTTAGCAAAAGTCTCCCCGAGGTACCATCTGGGCAGAAACAAAGCGAAACCTGAAACCAGTGAGAGGCGGAGAGACCCTGTCACTGAGGTCGGGGAGAAAGGCCAAGGCCCAACAAGTTCCCTGCCACAATGAAGCTCACCTGCCCTCTCTGCGCCATGGAGGGGTGACAGCTCTGTCCCACCACAGCGCCTACATGGGCACTGGTGTGCAGCAAGTGCATGATAAATAACACCCACTGTGGTGTGCGCCATGCTCCACAATACGGTAGCTCTCTGTGACCAATCTTAGGCGGTGTTATTGCATAAATTCTGTTAAGCAACAGTTCCAAGAGAATCCCAGGCCCAAGTGGCTTAAATTCAATTTGGAGCTGGCTGGGAAAGGGTCCCTGCGGCCTCCCACCCCTCCGGCCGGCCTGGCCAGGCACCTACCACCCAGGGCTTGCTGCAGAAGTTGTAGATGGAGTAGAGCGAGTTGACGGCAGGCAGCCCCCCGTATTGCAGGCCGATGACCAGGCTGCGGTAGTCCTCCCCCAGCGCCATGCTGTAGGCGTGCTGGCGGACCAGAAGGAAGTCTGGCTTGAAGGACCTGCCGAGAGAGGGGTCAACAGGGTCACTCGCTGGCCGCCTGGGGGTCAGCTCAGGGAGAAGGGGACGTGCAACTGAGGAAGGTGGGAAACAAATGCCGCGTGCTCCCTGGCAGGTTTCTGGATTTACTGCACTGACCGAGCTTCATTGTGATCAGAAAAAGACGGGTCAATTACAGCTCAGGGAACAGAGGGGACTGTGCCGGCTTCCGGCACCAAGTGAACTGTGTGCGTCCCGCGGTGGGAACAGCTGCCGGGGGACCTGCTGCCCTCAGCTCCGGATCACTACCCTGACGTGGAACAGCAGGTGGTGGCAGGTCCGGGGCTGCCCGATGGCTCCCACTCCACTTTGGAGCAGGGCCTCTTTGCTGCACTTTTCTTTCTTCTTCTGTTTTGTGATCTTTTGTCTTTTTTGAGACATGGTTTCACTGTGCAGCTCAGGCTGGCCTGGAGCTTACTAGCCCAGGCTAGTCTCGAACTTGCAACGAGCCTCCTGCCTCAGCCCCGAGAGCTGGGATTACAGCTGTGTGGCACCATGCCTGGCTTATTTGCTGTGCATTTCAGATCAAATGTGTCCTGCTCCTGCCACGCAGCAGCCTCCGTAAGCGGCTTGAGGGCACCGGGTACTGCACTGGGACTCTGTCAGGGTTCTGGGCTGCTTCCTCACCACTCAGCTGGGGACCCTCGCCCACAGGCAGGTGGGAGCTGCCTTGGGACTCTGGGCTTTCCAGGCCTGCTCACGACTCCTGGCTGTCACACGCTGCTTCACCCACACCGCCAAGGTTGGACTATTTCTGGGCTCCTCATTTCTAAGTCCCACAAACATCCAGCCCCACTGTTGGTGCAAGGTGTGTGTGCACATGCATCGCACTCAGTCCATCCTGTGCACTGGGCACTGGGTCCTCAACTTCAAATAATTCAACCCCAGTTAAAAGGACGCTCCATGGGAAGGAGGCACCCGTCCAGGGCAGAACAGCGAGAGCTCAATTCTTGCTCACCACGACCTTCCTCTCTCACACCCCGAGGTCGCTGGGACCCTGGCATCTTGTCACAGGGTGGAGCTGGGCAGTTGCTGCGCAGGTGAGGGACCGATATGGGATGACAACAACACACAGGAGAAGGAAGGAGGGGAGTGTGCAAATCCCCAGCAGGGGTCTCATGGTGAGAAGGACACTTGGCTGCGGCAGAACCATTGCAGATTTGATCCGTAATACCGAAAAGCAGTACCGAAAGCTCCCGTGGACTATGCAGAGGCGTAAACAAAACACTCAGGGAAACAACTTGGGAAATTCCCGACAACCTTCACATGCACATTTGGACCCAAGCATCTGCTCTGCTGTACGCAACCCACATTCGTACTCACGCGTTTCACGCTTTCTAGTAACTGTAGCTTTGGAATTTTCCACAGAATATTACGGTACAAGCATGTCCTTTAATGTCAACATAATTTCTGATTGCTACACGGTAGTCCGTGGACTGATGATTCACAATTACATCAACAAGTCACCTGCACTGCCCAGTAGGCTGCTCCCCAGATTCCCCACACCAGGATTGCACAGGCGACCGTGCCAGCCGCTCCACAGCCTCTGTGACGCAGACCCTGGGGGCAGCTCTTCTCAGAAATGCGCTCCCCTTTTGAGGTAGATTCCCAGTTTCCTGTGAGAAGGCCCACTTCCTCCCAGTCTCACCAGCACTGCTTCCCACAGTTTCAGCAGGGACTCCCCCCAAGATGCCTTTCATCTCCCACGAGCTTTAGCTTGCATTTCCCTGATTTTAGGAAAGCGAGTGTTTTCCATGGCCCACTTCCAGTTTCTCTCCTGTGAAGGTCAGGCTCACGTTTTAACAATGGGGACCTCTGGGGGCTACAGCCGGCCTGCCCTGCACCCTGTCCCACCTCCCTCTGGGCCACAGAGATCACCTCCCCTCCCCACTTCCCCCATCTCGGGCCTCAGGGACACCTGTCCTGCCTCGCCAGCCACCCTGAGATGCGCCCAACTTTGACACACCTTTCTGCTGCTGACAGCTGCTCTGCGTGAGGTTGGGGACCTGGCTGCCGTGTACCCCCGAAGCCTGAACACCCTTGAATGAAAATTAAGGCCTGTCCGATAGTCTGTGGGAAGGGAAGAATGAGTGTGGCACAGGGTGGGAGCTGGCCTCTGGAAGGGGAGAGGCCTCCCCTTGGGGTGCTGGCCCGGATACCAGGTCTGATGGCCAGACAGCCCACCAGTCACACACACGCAGCCCCTGTCCTACGGCTGCCTTCCAAGGGCCCCAGTTTGTGTCTAAGGAGCAGAGTTAGTGCCACCAAGCCGCAGCCAGCCCAGGGAACTCAGCTCCACCCCCGTGCTCTGAATATCTTCGGGTCCAAGGTGTGAGGGACAAGCACTTCCTTCCCATGCCCTGTTGTTTAGATGACCAGCACACGAGTGTGCCCTCTGCCACTGTCACCACATGGGATGCACAGATCCTTCCTGAAAGGCTGGGGTGTGAGAAATCCACAAGGCACACAGGGAAGTAGTGGCCCAAGCCGGGTACCCCAGCCCAAAGCTCTTCCCTGCCCAAGCTGGGTACCCCAGCACCTCGGTTCTCCATCCAGCCAGAGGTGGCCAAGTCCTGCTGTCACCCAACACCAGAGAACGTCCCTCCCCAGCCGCTGCCAGCCCCCAACAGTGGCCAGGCATTCCAGCAGAGGCTCATGAGCTCATGACAGGGACATGATCACTGCTCTCCTGAAACACATCCCCGGAGGAGTCGGGTCCCCGGTGCACTGGGATTCCGCAGACACAGATTCCCACACCCGCGAGGCACCCGAATGAAGAAGGGAGGTGGGCAGCTGAGGCACAGCCAGGTGCTGAGGTGGCTGGAGGGCAGTGCAGCCCTGTCGGGGGTGGCGAGGGTGTGGAAGGCTTAAGACGGCCCTCACCAGGGCAGGAACTTGAGGGTATTCAGAAGGGGGTGTGGGGTACCCTGGGTCAGTTCTGGTTTGCTTGCTCGGTACCCTCTTTCCTCTTTTGCAGAGACCACGATGAAGCCACTCTAGTCAGAAAGCCTTGGTGAAGGCCCGATGCCCGCCCGATGGCACTGCACCAGTCCTGCTGGTGGACTCCTGGTGGTACCTCCTGGTACCGGTCTACTCTCACCATCAGTACTGCTCTGACCAGTGCTGGAGGAAAAGTGCACGCTCTGCTGCCGGCTCCGTGGCTGGGGCTGTGATGAGGGGCAGCACCTTGCCAGCTGCCTCCTGAGATGGAGTGGCAGGCACAGCGACTCTGGCCGTGGGGGAAGTGCCATGAGCTCCTCCTCTCTACACAGCAGCCAGCACAGATCTTGCTGGGGCTGAGCCAGGGCCTTGCCATCGTCAGCCACCACTGGTTTCTAACTGTCCCCCACTCTTCAAGGTCCCAGGTGGTGGATGGAAGGGGACGATCATGCCGATGGTGATCTCACGCTGGCCTGTCACACCCAGCTCTGATGCCAGCCAGGCTTGGGAAGGCTTGACTTTGTGACCTCTGTGTGTCCCAATGGAGAGATGTCAATGGTCAATGCACCCCGACACCTCCCTTCTCCACCTCTGGAAATGCAGAGGTCTCTGGGGGACAGGGCCCAGAGAGCTGAGAAAACCAGCAAGGGATGCGGCAATCAGGACCTCCAGATGGTCCCCTGCTTCCAAAGGCTAACGGCAGCCTCATCCCGCTGGACATGGGAGGCTTTGCAGAGGCAGGGCCTGTGGTGGCCAGATGGAAGGACTCTGGGAATTAGCGACGCTTCCCACCAACCCCAGGACTGCAAGAGATTAGTCCAGGCTGAAAAGAAATTTTGTGGAAGCCAACCAAGAATCCGGCGTGGAGCAGAACACAGGATGCTGTGGTGAGGCTCTGGGACGGGACAGGGCCGCGGGCTTTGTGCTGTGGGGTGGGGCCGGCGGGATGGTGGACAGCCCAGCTGCTGTGACGTGTGGGAAGGTAATGAGACACAGACACGCTGAGGGGGAAGGCGGAGGAGGCCTTGCTCGGCCCCCATCGCCACCTGGAGCCGAGGGCTCCTGCCCCTGGCCTCTCTGGCTTCAGAGCACGCGTCCTCCGCACTCATCCCTTCCTTTCTCTTCCTCACCGCACCGGGGGGAGACCGCACTGTGACGGGTTGCACTGTACCTCCGGAAGTCAGGCTGAGACCCTGCACCTGTCTCGGCCGGGCCACTGTCATGGAACACCCTGGACTTTTCAATGACAGACACGCGCTCCTCTCCCTTCGGAAGGTTGGAAACTCAAGGGCAGGGTGCCCTTGAGGCTGGGAGGGGCTGCTTCCTTGCCCAGGCTGGTGAAGAGGCGAGGTGAGAGGCTGCTCTCCACCACGGGTCACCACCTTACACAGTGAGACCAAAGCATCCTCCTGGATCGGCCAGCAACATGAGTTTGAAGGGGACAGATAGTGAATCTCGGGCGATATAACACCTGTGTGTCAAGGCTGGAAATGAGCCCGGAAGTCACGAACAGTCAGAGGGAAGACAAGAGCCAGGATGCACGGAGACTCGTCTGGATGACAGTAGCGAAAATCTAGCCCTGATCTGAAGGGTGAGCCAGGGAGCGGGGCCTGGTTGTTCTGCCGATGCTGCTTGCACAGCGAAAAGGACACAGAGAGCTTGGACGGCAGGAGAAACCAGAGCGGGTCCCCGTCCTGGAAAACGGGAGCTGTGGGATGGCCTCACACGGTGGGAGACACTGCCGTCTGCCATGTGACAGAGCAGATGAGAACCACAGGGCTGCGGGGACGGCGGACTGGGAAGGAGAAAGGGCACACTCGTGGGCAAGGTGGGCAGGCAGCGTGTCTTCTTTTGAAAGTTTCCCTTTGGTTCTAATTTGGTTGGGGTTGGGAGACAGGCGCAGGAGACAGGCCGGCCATGAGCTAAGAACCAGGTCCGCCCTGCACAGCCCCGGAGCCATCGCCAGCTGCTTCCCTTCCTCCTTCCTGGCCAGACTTGCGGGACACACGGTCTGTGCCCACC